AAGGCAACTTAACAGTATCTGTCAACCTTCCTGCAAAGAAAATCTTTTTTCCATAGGTACCCAAAATCGATTCCAACTGCAAGCAACCAAGAACTGTACCTGATATTCAAGGGCGACAGAATATCAAATGGAGACTGGCAGAACAATGGATCAAGAGTCCCAAGCATGTTAGCACATGAGGGTTAACAGAATTCGCCAGAATTGTTTCAATGGAGGGTTGGGACAGGAGACCCATTGCAGAGAATTCATAAGTAATTTCAAGATAGAGACGGGCAAACATAGACTTCAACAGGAAGTAGGGGATTGGTTCATAGTCAAAGGCAGTTCTTTGTCTTGTTTTAAGATGCTAAATACCTGCACATAGGATGGGGCAAGTGAGTGATAACAGCAAAGCAGAAGTTAACAATCTAGGAAAGAGATGGAGTAACATGAAGACCTGAGAAGCGATGAGAAAAGGCAGTCAGGGGTCCCTGGCACATGTCTACACTGCTGGGACTATCTCCCTTTGCCCAGGCTGGCCCTCAGTCAAGGGTGCCATTCCCTGCATCTAACCTGGACCTCTCCTTCAGGAATCAGCTACAGGAGGAATGAGCAGTGGTCTGGTTGAGCTTCCTCAGACCTAGATTGTGGCCCCAGCTGCGGAAGTGAATGCTCAAGCATTTCCTTTGTCCTTCTGGGAGCTTTAATTTTTCTTACTTGACTTGATCCAGAAATCTTTATAGTATGCTTTTAAGTCTTGATTTCTATAATTCTTCATTTCGCCCATCATAACTTTTCTTAAGTTCAAAAGATTCCTTCTTTATTCTCCAATTTCCTCCTTATTCTTATTTCCCAAAATAAACTGCCTTACCTGACATTTTTTACTCATTAACTTATATCACAGTTTTTCATATATATGTTTTCTCTTCTACTAAACCACAAACATGAGGGCAAGAAGAAAATAGGCATTAACGGTACTAAACACCAGGTGGGCAGTGGTGGTGGGTCTTCTTTACTGTATATCCCTCTAGCTTTATCCTATTATAATAAAAGGAGAACATGTAAATTGGACCG